CAGTACGCTTCTTAAATCTCTCAAACCAGCCTTTGCTGGCCTTAAATTCACTCACATCACTAGTTTACCTGGAGTTTACCTGGAGAGAGTTCCGGGGGTCAACGCCCCCGCGGCCCGGTCTGTGACCAGGCCTCCTGGTGGATCAGAGCCTGATCAACCAGGCTGTTGCTGCTGGCTGCACGCAAACCAACGTACGAGCCACAGCCCGGCTGGTCAGGAACCGACTTTAGGTGCTTGTCCAGTCCCAGCTTGAAGACTGCCAGGGGTCTGTTGGTAATCCCCCTTATGTATGCTGGGAGGCAGTTGAACAGTCTCGGGCCCCTGACACTTATTGTATGGTCTCTTAACGTGCTAGTGACACCCCTGCTTTTCATTGGGGGGATGTTGCATCGTCTGCCAAGTCTTTTGCTTTTGTAGTGAGTGATTTTCGTGTGCAAGTTGGGTACTAGTCCCTCTAGGATTTTCCAGGTGTATATAATCATGTATCTCTCCCGCCTGCATTCCAGGGAATACAGGTTCAGGAACCTCAAGCGCTCCCAGTAATTGCAGGCAATTTCTTTACCAAATCGTCATGCAACTGCCTAGCCTTTTCACAAATAAGCGACGTCGTAAGACTGTCTCCTGCTAATTGCTTCTCGTTTATCCACACCAGTAATAACTTCTCAACATCTTCAAGTACTGGTGATCTCATTTTTGTCAGCATATTTACCCCCTTTGCAACAACAGCTTCCTTGATTTCCTTTTTTTTGGCTATGATGGAAAATATGGTTGTACGGGATTTGTTATACATCCTGGCCAGTTCGCCCACACGTACACCGCTTTCATATTGTTCATTGATGTTTTTCTTAAATTCAATCGTATTTCTCACCTTCTTTACCAAAGGCTTGGCACTAGGAGCTTTCTTTGGAGCCATGGTAGCTTATTTAGCACTTGCAAGCACTAAAATGAATTGAATATTATGAAATAGTATTTCGTATGAACACGTGAGGGGACTGTCGCTCACTGATAAACAATGGCACACTGGCTGGGAAGGGAGGCCGAGGCGGCTCAGAGCATGAGTACGCGTCCAGGACGAAAGACGATTAGCGAGTTAACGGACCATTTGCAAGCCAATGTTTAGACGAAATAACGGGACTACAGTGGACCCCCGGTTTACAATCAGCTCCCAATGCGACCAATTATGCAAGTGTATTTATGTAAGTGTGTTTGTATGTGGATGTTTGGGGGTCTGAAATGGACTAATCTAATTCACAATATTCCTTATGGGAACAAATTCGGTCAGTACTGGCACCTGAACATACTTCTGGAATGAAATAGTATCGTAAACCGGGGGTCCACTGTATTTCCGAAATGGACGACTTTCAGGCCAGACGATTATTGAGGGACCACTGTACTTAATGCAGCCAATGGAGAATAAGTTTATAAAAGCACCTTCCATATTTAAACTTAAGCTTATCATTTTTGGATGTAGGCTAAAACAGTATACTGTTCATCCTTTGTAATCTTTTGACTACCACCCACAAGGTAGGTATGGGGTACATAATAGAGATATGAAAATAAAACACTGTTCACGCTTTACAATTGATGCATTGCTCGAAGCAAGGTATACTTCCTTAGGTTCTCTATTACATCTGTGTAATGTTCTATTGATATGCCTACAGCATCTGTGCCCTCTGCACCATAGCACAAATTTGTATGGTCATTAATGACATTCGTGGATTTCTTGGATAATGGTCATCTTGCTTACTTGACGAGGAAAATTGTTTGAGGTGGCAAGTAGAGTACCAGCACTGAAGGATATCATAGTTTGGATGGTCACTTGAACTGTCTGTGATGCTGGAAAGACTGCTAGAGAACAAACAAGTAGGTTAAGTAAGCTTTACAAAGAAACAGGTTACATACCTTAGTCATATGATGACCCATCGCTGGAACTTTTGTTCACACTATCCTCTGGCTTGCTGGTCCACCCCTATAAAAAATAAAGCATTTAATGTTGCAATGAGTGATGAATAGTTTTCTTTGGCCCACCCCTATCTTAAAAAGACATGTACCATCTTACAAAAGGATGTCTTTTTAAGAAATTTCTCCTTTTATAAAGTGCCTGACAATGCCTTAGTAGATGAAACAATGTAACAATCTTTGGTTGCTGCCTTTTTTTTTCCCCCCATCTCCCCCCTTTCCTCAATTATCGCCTTAGTTTTTCTTCATTTCTGGCCATTTTCTCACTATTGTTAATCTGTTAGGTGTACTGGCAGGCCCCACTTTATAGCACTTCGCTTTACAGCGTTTTGCTAATACAGCAGTTTTCAGTTATACCTATTCTTCATTTATTCAGACTTCCTGCATTAAATATATTCACCACTCGCTATAAGCTAAGATGAAAATATTTTAAGATAAGTAATGTGTGTACTGTATATACATTTCTTAGACCTAGCTATATTGCTCACTTAATATGATAGTGTAAACATGTTATCAGGCTTTTACATATGAAAACAGGCCATGATTCACTTTACAGTGGCTTTTTATTTTACAGAAGTAGCCCCGAGCCCAGCCTGCTGTATAAGCAGGGCCTCCTGTACTAATATTAATCATACCATTCTTGTTTTGGGTAAGCTACGTACAAAAAAAATTACAGTACATTAAATAACTTGAAGTATTCCGAACTAAATCGTATTTAACATTTGATACAGACATTCAAGGTGGCCATTTTCATTTTTACTTAATCACTAATTTTTGTCAGGATATATAATAATTCCATTATGGTACCAGTTACGTACTATTTGTAGAAATCAGTATACACAGAAATATGCATAAATGACATACAGCCTCTCCTCAATGACGGAGTTCCGTTCCTAAGCCCATTGCTAATTGGGGAATGTACTATAATGGTAGTGGGTTTGTCAACCATCTTTGATAATGTTTTAATGTCATCTTTGCACCATATATAACATTTCTGGTATATTTTTAAATGTTTATACAGTAGTGACTGTATATTGTAATACACAGAATAGAGGAAATTAGCTCTAATGTACATTATTTGGGTATGAATGCCGGTCAGAGAGCCCATTGTAAGTCCGAGTCGTTGGTAAACGAGTACGTCACTATATTGTACAGTGGACCCCCGCTTAACGATCACCTCCAAATGCGACCAATTATGTAAGTATATTTATGTAAGTGCGTTTGTACGTGTATGTTTGGGGGTCTGAAATGGACTAATCTACTTCACAATATTCCTTATGGGAACAAATTCAGTCAGTACTGGCACCTGAACATACTTCTGGAATGAAAAAATATTGTTATCCGGGGGTCCACTGTATATTGGTAATCTAAAAGCTTGTATTTTAAGCTTTCAATATTCCAATGGGGTCAGAGCTCTCTAATAAATAAACTTATGGTTCACAGCATATATTTAAATTATAAAAATTTCACCTTGCACATTGCCTACTCAGTAATAATTGAATACATATAAATTAAATTTCTGTAAAGCCTATGGACACAAATTTCATATTAACTTTTGCTGTTGCTCATGTTGCAGCCTTGTAAAGATAGTTACTTTCAGCATGATACAATGTTTGTACAAAGATGAATTACATTTAGGTGTGTATGTCGAAAGCCCCTTAATATGCAGAGCATTTCGGGCAATCTTAAGACTAACTTAAGATTAATAAGGCAGTGACAAATGGTTTTACTTATACAATCTCTTGGGTGATTGTAAAGCTATATAAATGATGGTTGTCATTGCCTGGCTCTGCACATTGGGTATTAAAAAGTTTGCTTCCATTAGTACCATGTTCATTTTGGTTCTCAAATCTGTAACATTTGCAGCAAGACAGTCCTGATGTAAAATACATTGCTAGCAGTGGCATATAGTGGAAAAAATATTGTGTAAGCAATGTCCCGTAGCTTGATTGCTAGTGCACTCGGCTCTTGCACCGAGGTCCGGAGGTCAATCCCCTGGTACGGGTGGAAATATTAGGACGTGTTTCCATAAGACACCTGCTGTCTGTTCAACCATCAGTAAAATAGGTGCTTGGATGTTAGTCTACTGGTGAGGATCACATCTTGGAGACAAAATTTACCTAATTTACCCAAAATGCTCTGCATAACAAGGGGCTTTCTATGTAGTATTTTGTCATAAATGTCAGCTAGGTCTGTATAGACTCAACGAACTTGCAGCGAGTCTTAAAACTAAAAATCAACACATTAGCCACTTGGTCAGCTGGCTACAATAAGATTCATCCAACTAGGTATATTTATACACCATAGGAAGTTAGCATAGGCACCACTGTGACCACAAATATGCTCCAGTTTCCTGAATTGAGCCTGAATACCTTCCATCCCATCCCCTATGAGTGTGTATAAGCCCTACAGGTTTAGTGCTCCCTCATAATGATAATGTATAGTAGGTGCCCCTTTTAAGAACAAAAAGGCACAATACTCTGACAAACAATACACAGATAACCTGCATATAGGAGAGGGAAGCGTATGTCCAAGTCGGACTGAAACGCCATCACAAGGTGGTCTCTCCTGTGTGTAGGTTGTGTATGAGGTCTCTTGATGCAGTAAATGCATTCCAGGTCTGTGCCAGCTGTACTAATGGAAGTCAAGCCAGCAATACTCCATTTTGCATAAAATCTATCGATGCCTTCTGTTAACTGCACAAAGTGCATGTGGAGAATGTGACAGTATACATAAAATTAACAGAAATGGGACATTACACAAGTGAAATTGCATAAAGCAAACCTTCATAAACGTTGGGAAACTTGTATATGAATTTGTGGTTGCCATGCATTAGTAACTAACTTTGAGCACAGATACACATTAATACAATTATCATGCATGTGTAAATTACCTAAGATAAGTCGAACTTATTTCCATTGGGATCCTTGTAATATCCTAGGGTTCGTTCTGAATGTTTCCTGAACACTATTATTATTTCTTTGAAAATTATTGAATGAACTGTATATGTATGATAAATGGACTTTTTTTTTTTCTAACAGGTGTGAATGGTTAGCGTAATGAGTGTGAGGGACAATGGGGGTGAGACAGTCACTCCCACAATGGAAACTGCATCAACAGTGGCAGGAATGACAGGCTCCTCCCAGCCTGACACCACCAGCCTCCCTACTGCCTTGACCCCCAAGGCAGTAGACCCCACTGAGAACCTTCTCTTTCTACAGACCACTGCTGCCCAGGCAATAGCTGGAGCCTTTGTATGGGCAGCACTTCTCATCACCTGCCATCAGGTAGGTTACATTTCCAGTTGCTGTAATTCAGTGTTCCATCTACATGTTAAAGGAAGGTTGTTAACCTTATAATTTAGGCATGTTTGAAGATTTCTGAGGACTGTTGTCCCATTTCCAGGACAACAGTCTTGCTAGTTTTAGTACTGGCTTAACATTACTTTGAGTCATAACAGTTTTGAATGCATTGAAGCTGTAACTTTCCAAACAGTTTCTTAGTAAAGCCAGGAAGATTTTAGCCAGATCTCTTCAAGGAAACAAATTTAATTATCTGCTTTCTGCAAATCCCAACAAGCAATCTTGTATGATTTACCCAAAATTCACAAACCCAATTTACTGTTGGGCCCTATCACCATGGGTATAGGTAGTGCTCTATGCCAGTTAGCTGGCATACTTATTAAAAGCACAATAAGGCCATCCCACTTTCATCATTCAGAGGATTTGATATACAGCCTTGAAGGCATTAACATGAATAATAAGAGACTAGCAAGCATAGACATGGTTTCACTTTTCACATCACCAAATCATTAATTTTTTTATGTAACAATGATACTTAAACTTGGGGTTCAGCATAGCCACTTTTGTTTCATTGATCTCAAGAGAAGCATAAGATTCAGTTTGTGTTTCTTTGGTACTAAACAAATTTGATTTGGCAGTTGGATCTCTTGTTAGGTGCTGTATTGGCCAAGCTTAACTTGGAGCACATGGTAAAGCAGTCTGGAGTTGGTCATTCCTGGAACATTACTTGGTTTCGGATATGTGCAGTGTCTGCTTCCAAATTGTTTAGTCTTCTAAACTTAGATCATTTAAACCAGATTGAACTACAAGTTCAATTTACTTAAGAAGCGGATGATTCACTACCTTTCTTGGATATTCACCTCAAAACAGGTTGAGCAGTTAGTGTACAGGAAGCTCACTAATAGGATGACTTCAGCCATTACTCGCATAAACTGCATATCAAGAAGGGCTTGTTGAGTGGTTTGGTCAAGATTTATTTTCACATGATACAATGTACAATGATGGATGGCATGTGGTTTGTGCATGCAGGTGCTCAGAATTTGCAGTAAGAACTCTTCAAAATAGAACAAGACTACATTTGAAAGTACTTTTAAGTGTCCTTGTTCCCCACTATTCATTTATGAACAAAAAGCTGATACAACACATAACAGAACCACTGCCTAGGAAGTAGATATGGCATGCCCACGGGAACCACTGAAAATCCATCAGATGTGGTAAATCATCACAAAAACCATCAGTGACTTCACAAGGCCTCCCATTATAAGCTATACCTCACCTTTGACGAGTTCCAAGGGTCTTTTTTACTCCCGGAGCCTAGCCATGGGCCAGGCTCATCTGGTGCTAGCTGAAATCAAAGAATGTAGTTTACAATATGCCATTTGGAGGGTGTGATCACCTTTACATCAGGGAAACTGCCATGAGTCTATCAAAATTTCAAATATGAATATGCCTGAAGATTTGACATGCAATGTTTGTATTTAGCAATGTGACACTTGCATGTCATCTCATGGGGTGGGATAAAATACAGATGCCTTGAATCCTCTTCTACTGAACTTGATAGCACAAGCAAAATAGTGGTAAGTTTATTTTACACCCATAGGTCACATTTATATTAGAACAAACTTGGTGTAGGCTGGTAGGCTTGTTGCTTTGTTTCCCTGCTTCTCAGACCTCTTCTAATTTGTACCTGACTGCTTAATCTGGATCGACTAGAGATATATTCTTCTGGTTTTGTACTTTTTTTTTTTTAATTCGCCGGTATTCTACCGGCCCGGGTCTTTTCCAAGGAGTGGTGACCCAGCCTTGGCTCCCTATCTGGGGAATGTCTCGAGAAGTAAGTCTCCCATGGGAGGAGGCACAAGTACCCCCTCATCTTTGGGACCAACTGTCCCCAGGCCTAGCCACATTCCCCACCCTCACAGGGCTCACAGGGAGAAGCTAGGCCTCTGGTCTGCCATCTGCCCCACCCCAAAAGGGCTCGTGGGGATGGCAGTCTTATGAGCCGCAGGTGGTAGCAAGCTCAGGCCTTATTTTGTACTTGATAAAGTCAATTTGTGGTGAAATGTTGTACCTGTAAAGCACACCTGCAATCAGTCTTGCCCTTTACAAAGCTGTAGTTGAAAATTTTTCATTAAATGAGCCACAGTAACTTAAAATTTAAATAAAAATAATTCATGTTAAGCACTAAACCTATATGGGTAAGTGCAAGATGTCTCCTGAAAGCAAGACACACACTTTCCATTGTATGTACTTGCCCATATGTCTGAAAATTTAGACATTACTGTTTTCTAAGGGGGCTTTCAACCCATAAGGGTCATACAGTGCCTGAGGAATGGGTGGCAATCAGAGTTGATCTGGGTGAATTGCCCTTCACTGACATCAAGGAACCAGGCTGTGACATGTGGGGCAGGGGGCCACCAGCAGCAAGAGCCTGGTTGACCAGGCAAACTCCAGACGGAAAAACTCTCGGAACTCATCAAAAGTACATCAAATGCATTGAAGGAAATTTAGCTTGAGAATAATAATAGTGCTAAACCTGTGAGGGTCATGCCGCTCCAGGGAAATGGAAAGTAATTGAGTGTGTGATCTGAGGAAGGGGAGGGCTAACTCCAGTTTCAATGAAGAGCTTTTCCCCAGCATAATGATGGTGCTTCCCTCCTATCCTTGAAAGGTCAGCTTAAGAATAATATATCAGTTTAATGGACTGGACAATGTCAACAGAGGTTAAAGAATATGGTTATGTTTTGAAGTTTGGTTTGTATTAGGGTGCCTGATAATGTTAAATGGTTATTGATCCACTATAACGCTGCCACACCTTCCATGGATCAAATTGATTACTTTCCATTCCCAGATAGACGGACTAACGACATGTTTAACATTTACCTCGAATATAAAGTTACTGTACTCTTGATGTAGCCAACTCTGAATGATTATTTTTATTAACCACTGGTTTAGCGACAGAATAACCTAAGCAAGAACTGAGGTATAAACCATGGTGATTAATTCCACTAAGTGGTTTAAACACATGAGCAAACGTTAGGACATGCTGTTTTTATTGCCTAGTGTTTTCTCACGTATGTTTAAACCACAAGTATTGTGGTTTAAACATACGATGCACAAGTTGATTAACTTTTGGGTATATACTTATTGCTAGTCCTTACAAGGATAAGAGTGCTGGTGAAGGGCTGTGTATTACAGAAATTGAAGTTCAGCCCTTCGATTTAATTAGATTACCCCTCATTCACTAGGCGTTGTATGGCCCTTATTGGTTTGTTTTCACTGAGGAATGTTTTTTGTTTGGGTGAACTAGGGTATCTGACAATCGTCTTGCCTCGTCTTAGGAATTGAATCCGGGACCTATGAATTCTCTAGCCTTTTTAAGAATCTAAAGGTCCCAAGTTGTGGGTTAGTGCTCAACCTCAGTAGGGTAATAAATTACTTTAAAAGTACACGTACAAGGAATACAGGCCTAGCTGACATCAATGACATACTACTATATAGAAAGCCCCTTGTTATGCTGAGGATTTTTGGCAAATTAGGTCAGTTTTGTCCCAGGATGCGACCCACACCATTCGACTAACACTCAGGTACCCATTTTACTGATGGATGAACAAGGACAGCAGGTGTCTTGTGGAAACTCGTGTTTTCCAGCCGTACAGGAAATCAACCCCCGGACCTCAGTATGTGAGCTGAGTGCGCTAACAATCATGCTACGGTGGTTAACGCTCCTGGGAAATAGGAGGTAATCAGGTTTGATCCATTGAAGGGTTGGGTAGTTCTAATTCCTTGGATTAGAGAGCCACGAAGTGATGCACGAGGTTGCGCTAGCATCCTTGAAGATGCGTCATGGGAGGGGCATCGTCCTGATGGTGCCTGGAGGGATGGTAGCGGTTCACCTCCCTCCCTGCCTGGCCTCCCTGCACCGGAAAGACCAGGAGGAGGAGTTAGCGTAGTTGCTGCTTCCCTACCTGCAACCTTGCTCACCTTCGCCACTGACGAAGGTATACACACTAAAAGTTTGTATATACACATGTGTGTGTATACCAGGTTGACTTTAATATGTATTAGTTTTCGGTGGTGTGTGTGTATTGCAGCCTCGCCTCCATGCAACTGATGGACTTTAAACCTAACATCTCAAACAGTCTTTACTTAAAAACTGACGTAGTATCAGTTGAGTATACCTGGATTATTATTATTATAATCAAGGGGGAAGCGCTAAACCCGTAGGATTATACAGCGCCAAGGGGGGGGGGATGTGGAAGGCATTCAGGCTTAATTCGGGGAACTGGAGCACAGATCCAATTCCCTAAATCAAGAGCCCCTCACCAACATCAAGGAACCTTCCATGAGGGGAGAGTATACCTGGGGAGGGTTTCGAAGGTCAACACCCCCGCGGCCCGGTCTGTGACCAGGTCTCTCCTGGTCACTGACCATACGTTCTGTAATAGACACGTATAGGACCAAGACGACTACTAAATATAGTCCAGTTAAATGTCTTAAGTGAACGTAGGTACACGTCAAACATAAAAGAAATATTTGTGCTGTATATGATGTTGCATAAAGTCATACCTTTATCTTGGAGAAAATATAATGTCATTTGGTGAAGAGCGTCAGGGGACACTGAAAGTGGTTCCTGGCCTCTGGTAGCAACTGTATTAAATTACCCGGCCACATTCCCTTGTCACCAACCTTGCCTGCGACCTCGCTCACCCTTGCATAAAAACACATTAAACCTCGCTTCTTCCTTCGTTTTTCACTATGAACATTTTTCTTGCAGATGACAAGTTATTGTTGTCTTACCGTTGACTCAACATAAGCAAGAAGGTGGCAGTGGTTTTTGTCTGCTGTTAGTAACTTAAGATTAGGGGGAAATCGTAGTATAAAATCTTTAACTTGTGAGTTCATTACCTCTGTACCTGGTTCCGCTATTAAAACTTGGGGGCCCAGTCCCTGGACCCATTATGTACCTCTGTAATCTGTAAATA